ATGTGGGAGTGTCCAGCACCTTAACCACCATTCCACCCTCTGGTCCCAAAGTCCTTAATATTAATCACATCTGTAAAGTCCTCCTTGCCATGCATGTAGCATAGTCACACATTCTGGGGCCCGAGACAGACATCTCTGGGGACCTCCTATAGCTGGGTTTGTCCTGGAAGCTTCAATCTCTGAGCAGTCCTCGGGGAAGGCAGATGACTAGGTGCAGTATTTTGGGTTCTCCCATATCTCTGGGGATGTTTTTGCTCCCCTAGGCCATGAAAAGGGGAAAAGAAGCCACCGATGTTTGCCTTCTTCCTGAATGTGTGTGTTTCCTGCTTTGAACTTCCCTTTCTCCATCCTTTCTCCATTTTAACTGGGCAAGATTTCTCTGGTTCCGTATCCTAAGTTCTCTTCACTCAGGGCTTATTATCCTTCAGGCTCAGCTCAGTCAGATGAAATATTCTTTCTACTCATGCTTTTGAGCAACCTACAAGCTTGGCTGTTCGTAAGTAAATGAAAGTCTTGGAAATTTGAATCTCTCCAGTTACTTCTCAACAAAACCTAGCTTTCAGGATGCCGGTGTGGCTGGGGACGTGAGGAAGAATAGTTTGACAGTGAAATCTGGGCAATGCCTTTTCCACTGAGGTCAGCACCCAGCCTCTCAATCCCTGGGTATTAAAGCTCTATGGTTTAGCCTTAATAGAAAAGCTGCAGCATTTGTGTGTGTGTGTGTACACACAAATAATAAACACACTGGCTGAATGTGCTTAAAACACTTCTCTCTATAGCACTTAATAAGTCTTGCCTAGTTAAGAGGCTATGGAGGGGCCAGAAGGTCGCATGGTGGTGAAGACACTGGATTCCCACATGGCTGACTCTGATTCAAGTCCCAGATCAGGTGGCTTGAAAATCATGCTGGGTGTGTGTTGCAGGCATATCCAATACCAAGGGGAGAATGGAGGAAAAGGGTTTGCAGCATGGCCATTCCCCCGGGGGGTGGGGGGTGTTCTCACTTTTCCTTTCTCCGTCTGTCATGGCAAGTGCATATGTCTTATGGCAAAAACTTAAAAAAAATGGGGGGTTTTCTAGGATGGGAGAAAGGAAAGTTCAAAGCAGAAAACTTACATTTAGGGAGAAGGCAGACACTGGTGGCTTCTTTTCCCCTTTTCATGGCCTGGCGGGAGCAGAAACATCCCTGTAGTTATGGGAGAACCCAAAAATACATGTCTGCCTTCCTCAAGAATTGCCCAAAGAGACTGAAAACTTCCAGGATCATTTTGTTTCAGAGTCCAGGTTCTGACGCTGTTTAGTCCCCGCCCGTCCCTGATATGAAATGTGGTTCTTTTGTAGACTGGCGGAAGGAGCAGTTCCAGGCCTGTGAGTGACTTGTGTTCTTTCTGGGTCTCCCCCTCCTGCCCTCATGGTTCCTGGCTTCTCCTTTGGTTCTCTGTGGTGATATAGATGCTGGAACCATCCATAGTGGTGGGTGGGTGTTGAGAATGACAGTCACAAGCTGGGGCTGGTGGGTAGGGCTAAGGTCAGATGGTAATAGGTGTCTGTCAGCTCCCGTGCTGTCCTCAGGGCTCTGTGATGTACTTAACTCCTAAATCCGTCCCTTGGATCCTTCTCCTGCTTGGAGGGCTGTGGGCTCGAATCCCATGAACCACAAGGCTCTCTTCCAGAGGCTTAGCCCTCCCCTGTGTAGCTGACGGCTCTGAGGGAGGGGGTGGCTCTGTGCCCTTGCTGTAGGTGAGGGAGGGTCTTACACGGTTAGTCACTCTCTCTGCAGGGGCTGTCACTCTGGATCCACATTCTGCCCATCCTGACCTTGCTGTCTCTCATGAAAGGACGAGTGTGACCAAGAAGGACACCCGTGAGGACTCAAGTACTGTCTCCAGCGTGCTGGGCCTCGAGGGCATCATGTCCAGGCGCTGTTACTGGGAGGTGGAGATCAGGAATGCAGACAGCACTGAGTGGGCTCTGGGGGTCTGCAGGGAAGATGCGAAAAGGACAGGCTGGTACAGAGAGTCTCCAGATACAGGGTTCTGGGTGGTGGGGAGGTTTGAAGGTGGATATTGTGCCTGCACTAAATCACAATCTTGGCTGTCCCTTAGGCAGCCTCCCCACAGGGTGGGCGTGTTCGTGGACTACAGAGAGGGGGACGTCTCCTTCTACAACATGACTGACGGGTCCCACATTTTCTCTTCCCCTCCGGCTTCCTTCTCTGGGCCTCTTTCTCCTTCTGCTTTGGAGCCCATCAAACCCTCAGGGGAGCTCACACCCTTGCTTGGCACAGACTCAGGGCTGAATTGCCATCACTCCCCTGACATTTTAAGGCTGGGATTCCCACAGGGCCCCACCCCTATCCCTGAGCCACCCCCTCCTCCTCCTGAGGTCGCAGACCCCTGTGGGAAGAGCCTCTGAGGTGAGTCCTGGTGACCCAGCAGCCCTGCCCCCCTCTCTGGATGCAGCCTCCTGGGGTGTGGGTGTGAGGACGTCCGGTCACGCCTGTGCTCAGGAAGCAGAAGGTAGAAGCTGACCGTGGGCCAGTCCCAGTGGGCTGTGCTGCCAGGATGCTGTGCTCTGAGGCCGGGACACACGGGAGGCCCCGGTGTGACTGTGGTCCAACCTGAAGGCTGGGTGTGGTGGTGCTCGCCTGTAACCCCAGAGACTTGGGAGGCTGAGGAAGGAGGATGGTGTCAGTGAGACCCTGCCTTAAAAAAACAAAAAACAAAACAAAAAAAGTTTGATTGTTCTTTGAGTTGGTTTAGAGTAGGCTGAATTTAACTATGGATGGGATGTCATTTTTCTTTTGGTATTAAAGACCATTTCATAGAATTTTTATATTGTTTGTATATGAAAGGGGCTGAGGGCTGAATTATTCTGCAGAACAAAGGGAGGTTCTTTATACAACTTGCATTTGTGTAGACAGAGGGACCCAGAGGTTCAGGATGCCCCAGGTCAACAATATTATGGGCAGTCTGGACTGTCTGACACAAAAAGTTGGTCATCCAAAAGTGTCCAGGGAGAAGGGTGGCTGGTGAACTTTTAAGGGGGAAGGACTTAATATTGTGCTTTTATACTTTCTACTCTGGAATCGATGAAACACACATGTTTTCCCAAACCTCAGTAAATTTCTGTTACTGGTCAAAAACTGGTGCTGTGTCAATTTAGGAAATGAAGATAAGGGCCTGGGTTCCCATTTGTGGCAATACCAGGTGGAAAGGAGGGGACTACTGCCAGAGTGAGTGATGAGTGTCAGAGTAGGACGTGAATGAAGAAGAGAATTTCCAGAGGCAGAGTAAATTGCAGAAAGCTTTGACCAGCTAACCAATGTACTGCCTCTTCATACTTCCGAGTCTAATGTAAAGCTTTGTGGAAAACCACAGTAACCAGAGAGAGGCAGGATTGCTGAGGGCTCAGCCCCTTCAGGAAGGAAGGTGTGTTTAGTCCACAGGTGAAGATGTCTGACCAGCTCTGGTTCTGGCTGAGAGTGAAAAGACACGAGATGGAAAGTAGATGAAAGAAATTGTTAAAAATTAAAGAAAAATTATAGGAGGTCATTGTCTTAAAGTAAATTCCTGTTCTTAGGTCCCAACAGGTCAGACCAAAGTGGGGTAATGCATGCTAAAATGCCACATCATTAAACTAAAAGTTAAAAAAAAATTTTGGGGAGAGATTTTTGCTTTAGGGTACATATGTTCACCAGAGAGACAGAAAGCAAAAAGATGGCTATGCCACATCCTCTTCTCCTCCATTCTCTTCTTGAGATTTTAAGCATGCATGCACACAGACCTGTCATGTTTCAAGTTGCCGGGTTCGGGACTCGAATCTTGGTCGGCCACATGGGAATCCAGCATATTAACCACTACTCCACTTGCTGGCTCCTAACTAAAACTTTAAGAAAGCTATAGGTCCCCTTTTCTCTCCGTAAGAACAGGAAAGGACTTTATCCTGATATCTCTTTATTAGCCTGTAAACCAGGCTGGCAAGAGAAAAATTGCTTTTGGTCCTATCCCCGAGATTTCATGAACTAAGCTGATATCGCAGGAAGGAAGAACATTAACTCACCTGGACAAAGTTCATCCTAACCCATCATCTCCCAAGCCCATCCAGCTTGCAAAGAGAATGATTTACTCTGAGCATTAAACCCATTCTTCTTTCATATAAATGATTTTACAGTGTGTCAGACTCGCTATCTGCCACCCTGAGCCCCGATGACTAGGATCATCCTGCTCCCTTTGTCACAGGGTTTAGCTGAGCTCTGCTGCACACGGCTCCTCAGCACAGCGCTGATGGGATCCTCCTCCCCATTCATGGTTCTTACCATTAAAACCACCCTGAGTTCTGTCAGAGCTCAGCACAGGATTTAGGGCAACTGGGATATTGTTGTATTTGGGTGATTGTCCTTATCCTGGTCCAAACAAAATCTTCCACTTTACTCACTTTGCCTCAGCCTTTATTATTATTTTTTAGGTTAATAAAGACATAGACTTCAGTTGTGGTCTTGTGGCCAGTTACAAAAACACGGACTGTATAGCTTTGCATATTTCATCTTTTATTGAGTGAATGTGTTTACTTGTAGGTATGAACCATTTTCTTCTCTTTTCACATTCATGATTTTACACATAAACTGTTAAAGGATAGTGTTATATTACAGTCTTTAGGGCACAGCGTAGTGAATATGGCTGAGACTGAATATGAAGGGTTAACAATACACAGTTTTGGATAATGACTGAGACTGTGAAAGGCGGTCAGCTGGAAATGAGCGGCTGGCCCTAAGGAAATAGAAGAGGGCCATCGGCCACGTCAGTCACACCTTGTTGACGGGGCCATGCAGGCAACACAAGCTGGTAAGGATGCTGCCTCCCATTCTAAGGCAAGGCCTGGACTGGGAAGAAACTGAGGCAAGGCCCAGTTTACGAGCTCTCCCTTGTGTCCTTGAACTGGCCGGT